TATACAAACTGTATAAATAACTGTGGAATGATTTCATAGAGTATTTGGGCCTGAACTTCTCTTTGATGAAGGTGGTTCGCATAAAAATAACCTGCAAGCTGCCAATAACAGTGCTTTCGACAGAACACGCTACACTCGGTTACGCAAGGCCACAAAAAGGTCACTACACCATTTTGTGCAGAATGTTAAATTTCTTATCAATTTTTTAATAATCAATGTTATATTAACGGATGTAATAACTAAACATTTCATTCCGTCTTTTTTATGATTTCAAATACTGAGAGATTTAAAAACCACACATCGGATTACTAGTTGTTTCCACTAAACATTTCACATTTAGGACACCAAGCCATGCAATTGCAAAATACTGGATAATGTGTTGAAGATGTTGTTCGTGATACGGCTTGATAAAGGACTTAACGACTGAATAAACAATGTGATAGCAAATCTGGACAATGATAACTAAAGTGTAAAGATAAATTCAAAAATATTAATTCAATATTGGTGTAGGGTCCTCGGAATTCAACGTGTAAACAATACGTTTCGTTGTGTTCTTTTTTTATATAAAGGCGAACCTCCAACCATCGAGATCCTCCCCGAGTCAAACCACAAAGCTTTTCTCGGCTCTAATGTCACCTTCACTTGCATTGTGTCAGGAAGTTATGCGACGAATGTAACACTGGTGGTTAAATGGAGTTTCACATCACATATTAAGGCATGTAACTTCTTGGTAGTCAAAAACTCGAGCCAAGGCAAATATACGAAGCGCTGCAACCTTACCATCAGCCCCGTTACAGAGGCCTCGAAGGGTTGGTACACATGTGAACTGAATTATGATCAACCCAATGGAGTATATACCGACAAAGAACTCGTGAAGTTAGCCGTTGCAGGTGAGTTAACGAGACTGTTAACGCCAGAAAAAATAATAATAAACACATCAAAAAGAATATTCACAGTGAAAGTTTAAAACTGGTTGCGTGATTTATCAAGTAGTCTTTGGAAAAGACGATCTGTATGATCAGCCGTTCCGGCAGCGATTTTTTTTCCATACCACACGCTCGCTAGTATATATAGACTTATGCTGAAGGGCCCTATATGCAATAGTATAATGTTTAAAACTTCCACATCGATTGAGTCACTGCTGTAGTGTCATGGATACTACGTTGGATTACAGATGGTGCGAGTTCGATTCCCATTGGTTGCTTTTCTTGAGTGGTCGGGCACAACCAAGCCACTGCCTAGAATTGTTCTGATAAATCTTCTTTGTTGAGTGGTCGGGCACAACCTGACCACTCTTTGGTGTTGTTACAATTAAAAATCTTTCTTTTTTCCGTACAGCACGTTTCCGCGGGTTTTTCTCCTAAACGGTTTATGAAAAGAACTTGTAATCTTCAATATATATCGACCCTCATCCTAAGTGGTACATATTACTCTGACGTCATTATAACGTCATCAGGTGTCAAATAACAAGCGATTTTCGATAAAAGGATCAAAGTTAGGTGAATTCAAAATGAAGACATCAGCCTGAAATCAGAACAAAGCACAATTTCTTCCGAATGGTTTACGGTATGATCGTAAAACATAGTGTAAACTTGTACCGTGTTAAAAAGATGTTATACATTTTGTAACGTCATCATAACGTCATCAGGTATCAAAATACAAGCGATTTGATGGCACGATTTGACAAAAGAGTTTGACCTATATCTCTGGAACTAAAATAGAGTATCGTGTTCATTTTTGCGTAAGGTTGTAGACTGTGCCTTGAGCAACATTTCTTTCCCCGGGCACAAAACTGCTTGACCTTTACTTCTGGTGTTACCGGAAGTGCCATAGAAATTGAATCTAACTCTAAAACGGAAGCATGATTTCACAGACAAATACTTGATGGAAGTGTAAAGTGAGGAATGCAAATCACAAAAACCATAATTTTGACGTCACCCCACGAAGGGGCGCCCTCTAACGGCACATCAAAACAGTTAAATCTTCTAAAATGTTAAAACTCTCAATCAACTTTTTAGGTCATTGCCCCTATATATCCCGTGAGGTACCACAAATAAATTTGCAAGATTTCATAATCATGACGTCATCAGACTGGAAGTTACTGTAGGGAGAATTCAATAATGATCATTTTATTTTTAGTATAAATCCATCATATGATCCCTGTCTCATGACTTTGGCTTTTGCAAAAAAATGACATGTTTTAGACCTAATGTAATATTGATATTTTGCTTCCGAAAACTGTGACGTCATTAAACCGGAAATAACTTATACGTGTACCTAAATGTTTACTTAATTTTATCATACCCTAAAAGACGCATTATTTTTGTACAAAATAATTGGAACTGAAAATGTTAAATTTCTTGACCTTTTTTTCTGACATAAACATATTCGTAACTGTAATGGACAATGTCTAATGAAATAGTTGTCTACCCAACCACTCTGCGTTTGTAACAACAAACGCGTACCTCTAGTTTGGGTTTTTTTTTATCTGGACAATAATTCTGCGTGGGTTTTCACCTAAACGGTTTATGGTACAAACTTGTAACTTGAAAAAAATATCGATCCTTATCCCCAGGGGTGCATATTACTCTGACGTCATTATGACGTCATCGGGTATCAAATTACCGGCGATTTTTGTTCAAAATATGACAATTTTCCGTCATTATTAATTCATGAACAAAACGAACGATAACAGTCATACTTTTTGATCTGATGGATCATACCTCGATAAACATTTTTGATGTTAAATTCAAAGTCGTTTGACCTTTCTTTCCGGGGCTACCGGAAGGTCAAAGTTCGATGAATTCAAAATATAGAAATTAGCCTTAAAAAAAAGAAAACATGATTTCTTTCAAATAATTGATTGACGTGGTGATACTAAAACCTAGTATAAACTTTAAACCTAGTACGAAGATGTAAATTTTGTGACGTCATTATGACGTCATTATGACGTCATCGGGTGTCAAATTACAAGTAGTGATCTGAGGGCAAATTATAACAATAAAGTTTGAGCTATATCTTTTTAACTCAATAAAGTACCGTGTTCGTTTTTTCGCGAGGTTGTAAACTATGCCGTGAAAAACATTTCTTGTTTCCGACACAAAACCGCTTGACCTTCACTTCCGGTGTTACCGAAAGAACAATAAAAACTGAATATAATTCAAAAGCAGAAGCATTTTACTGCAGACATATAAATTATAAAAGTGTTTAGTCACACGCAAAAACAGTATTATGATGTCATCATCCGAAAGGGCGCCCCTAGCGGCATATAAAATAGAGTTTACTTTCTTAAATTTTAAAACCATTTGTTCAAATTTTACAAAATCGCCTCTTGATATTCTCTGATTGACTACCGGCACTAATTTCATGTTCCAGCTCAATGACCGGTACAAAACGTCATGGATGCACTCGCAATCGAAACACTGGCATCAAATCAATTATGTCATCGTGCGTCATGGCGACCTGCGTGACGTGATCATCACCAGGGCTATGCGTGGCGCGGTTTGTTGGACTGACCACCGTCTCATCCGTTGCCAGTTGCGCATGCATATACGTCCTCTCATCGGCAAGCAGTTCGCGCTGTGATGTCCTTGCCTGCCCGTCGTTATCTTGAAAGACTGTTGCAGGAACGCCTGGGACTGTTGCAGGAACGCCTGGACGAGCTCCCCGAAGCTGTCGACACCCCGGCCGCTGGACACTCCGGCCCTTAATACCCAATGGGAGTCTCTCGCAACAACAATCACCTCGGATGCAGAAGCTGCCCTCGGAGTTGCTCAGAAACACCACCGGGATTGGTTCAGCAAGAACAACGCCGCTCACGATGCGTACCTGCGCAGTCGAAACTCAACTGTCCTTTAGGACCGCTGGTCGGTTCTGCGTGCCCGGGTTCAACGCGAGCTACGTGTCATGCGAAACAACTGGTGGATGGCGAAAGCACGGGAAATTCAAGGATATTCGGACACAAATAACAGCCAGTCCTTTTACACAGCCTTGAAAGCTCTTCAGGGACCAACCGTGAAGTCGTTTTGTCACGTGAAAGAAAGCACCGGAACGACGACCATCAAAGACCGCAGTGGTATCCTGGCACGATGGGCTGAATAATTTAACGATCTGCTGAACCGAAGAAACCCCACTGATGTATCGTTTCTGGACGATCTGCCTACATTCCCGGCCATCGATTGCCTTGACGATACGCCTTCGTTTGAAGAAGTTCAAAAAGCGGTCAATGGCTCGAAATCGGTGGACGCCGTCTCCTTCTGCGGCTGCACGGCTGCTCTGGGCTGCTTAGTGCGTGCCTCAACAGTGGAAAAACGCCAACGGCGTCCCCATCTATAAACGCAGGGGCGATCAAGCTGACTGCGAAAACAGCCGCGGTATCTCCCTGCTATCAGTAGCCGGTACAGTCTTGGCCCGCCTGATGCTTGCTCGCCTTCTTCTGCATGTCGCGGACGCCGTCCTGCCCGAGTCACAGAGTGGCTTCCGTCACAACTGCGGCACTGTCGACATGCTGTTCGTGGCTCGGCTCAACCAGGAAAAGTGTCGTGAGCAGCATCGGGACTTCTACGCCGCTTTTGTTGACCTCACCAAGGCTTTTGACACCATCAACTTAGAGATCCTATGGGAAGTCATTAAAAAGGTTTGGATGTTCGCCAGTCCTCTTAGCCATCATTAAGGACTTTCACGATGGCATGGTGGCACGTGTTCTGTACGGAGGTGCAGGATCAAATTTCTTTCCTGTCCAAGTCGGAGCCAAGCAAGGTTGTGTACCAGGCCCCTGTAATCTTCAACCTCTTCATGGCCGCAGTCACCCTGTACTCGCGTGGCTCGGAACTGGATGATGGAATTCCGTGCGCTATTGTCTGAACGGAAGCCTCCTCAACCTCCGCCGTCTTCAAGCCCCTACAAAGACCTCAAGTGAGCACGTTTTCGAACTCCAGTATGCCGATGACACAGCCCTTGTTAGTTATTCCTCGGCTGGGCTACAGAGGCTACTGGATAGCATGGTCGATGCATATGGCCGTGCTGGTCTTGTCATCAACACCAAAAAGCCCGAAGTTCTGCAGCAGCTCTCAACACTGAACGCTAGCCTGCACAACTTTCACGTTGGCAACACTGAACTCGCGGAAGTCGACCAGTTTACCTACCTGGGCTCTGTGCTGAACAACAGCCATGACCTGACTGACGATATTCAGCGACGTGTTCGTCTTGCCTCCGCTGCTTTTGGACGGCTTTCTCGACGGGTGTTCCTCAATAAGAACCTCTCCATAAAACCAAAAGTGGCGATCTACAACGCTGTGTGCATCTCGAGGCTACTCTATGGTTGCAAAGCCTGGGTCCTCTACCGACGCCATGCTAAGATGCTGGAGCGGTTTCACATCTCCTTCCTTCAACGCATTCTTGGGCTTCGCTGGTGGAACAAGGTGCCGCACGCAGAAATTCGCCGGCGAGCTGAAAGCCCGACCCTAGAAGCAACCGTAGCTGGACGTCAACTCCGCTGGATCGGCCATGTTATTATGCAACGCCGAAGAAGAGCGGAATTCAAACCAATCGACTCGAAACATTGGCCAAAGACCGAGCCGAGTGGCGACGCCGATGCAATGACGGTGCTACCCGCCTGGACGCCGAGCTGGTCCGAGCAGCGGAGGAGCAGCGCTCCCGCCGGCACGCTGTGACCGTCGCACCGCCTGGGCCCGCTCACCGGTGCCCTGTTGCGAGAGAAGTTGTCTGTCACGCATCGGACTTCGTAGCCATCTAAGAACCCATGAAAGAAGGTGACGTGGCGTGGTCTTCTGCATCAGAGGCTACTTCTACTACTAACGGTAGAAATAACTTAGCAAGGTTTCAAATTAATGACGTCATCAGACCGGACGTTACCTCAAGGAAAATTTGAAAACGATCGTATTTTGGATTTTATTCTATCCTTTCATTCTTGTCTTATATCTTATTAGCCAAAATAATCATATCCGTTACCGTTTCGGTTTTGCGGTAACACCATGTGGTAATAACTACTGCTTAGAAGATATTAGTTCTGAGAAGAACTTGTCCTGCTTATTATCAACTTGCTAAGTAGTTTTTGTTCTGTTTAGAACAGTCCTGCTGTAAGTTCTAAAAGAACTTGTCGTTGGTCTCAACGTTTCGACTAGCCTGCTCTAGTCATCGTCTCAGAACTAATATCTTCTAAGCAGTAGTTATTACCACATGGTGTTACCGCAAAACCGAAACGATACCGATACCCCACCATGCAAAGCCTCAAATCTTATATCATATCCGTTACAATTCTCACCTTTTGCCTTCAAATACTGTGACGTCATCAAACCGGAAGTTTGGTGTTATTAATACGTACACTTATATTTTCCACATTTTCATACGTTATTTATCTTCATAACAAACATTATCCACTTCAAACTAAATCGGTATTCACTTCCCGTTTTTTACTCATGGCGTCATCAAGCCGCAACAAATAACTTGTGTGTGTACATAGAATGTTCACTGAAATTTATCACACCGTTAAAGATACATTTTTAAACAAAAAAATTGATTGTACTGGAATTTTTAATTTCGTGATCTATTGTTCTTACATAAATTGCCTGCCCGACCATTATGCGTTTGTAACAACGAACGCGAACCTCCAGTTTAATTTCTCCTTCTTTACTTCTTTTTTTTTCTCTTAAAAAGGTTTGTTAGTCATTTGGGACATTTTTCTTTTACCAATATGTGGTTTGGAGGATTTTTTCAAAGGAAAATAAAGTTTAAGAATCTGACTTGCAACTCAAAGTTCTTCGAAATACGCCCATATGCATGTGTACAGAAAAAAAAAGGCGTGTAAAGAAAAAAAAGGCGCGTCCCGGCAATCGCCGGACTGTGCCAGATTTAGCTCAGTTGAATAGTTGAAACCAATAATTGAATTGGTTCGAAAATATATGTTCACTTTAAAAATTGCTTGTTTGTTACAAAGGTTACGCCAATTTAAACCCTTTACACCAGTTCAACTTGTTTTTACATTGATGTATACAGTTACATTTTATTTCACACCGTCAGAGTTATGCCGGTAGCCTTAAGGCCCTTGCTTTTATAAAATGCCAACACTTTGTAAGCAGAGTTTTGTTGAAAAAAAAAGAAAATTATAACCCTAATCTGCCTTATAGTGATTGCAGCGACAACAGAAATTTAGCTTTATGATGTCTTGAGTAACGTTATCATCTTACCGATTTCCGTTTTGTTATATTTTCTGTCAAGGCCTAGCTTCGAATTCTTCCATTGCAATGATGGATTTCTTGACTGGTAACACGGTTGACATCCACTACGGCCAACTCTGCGTACAGCCAGATACGAAAAGGACCTTCGAGTGCACAGTCCCGGATACCAAGCCTGGTGTCTGGAACATAACATGGCTGATGGGAGAGGAAGAGTGGCAAGATGATTCCATTGAAGAGGTCGTCGTCCACACAGGTGGATTGGTGGACGTGAGCAGCAGGTACACTGTGTCCAACTTCAAGAAGGACGGTATCTTAGCCAACCTGACCTGCCGGGCTCAGGTTATGAAGGACGATTTCTTAAACGTCACCGTCCGGATCAAGTTTTGCCCAGGTAAGTGTAACGATATTTTTGTTTTCTTCTTTTGATTTTATTTTGTTTGCCTAAAAAAAAAACAAGAAGCACCACACCTCAGCAAAATCTAGGAGTCTGAGCAAAAACAACTAGGATTCATCCCCCTTTATTCCGTCGCAAACCAGAGCTACGTGCTGGGCAAAAAAAATCGTTCAAGGCCATTTGCTTAGCACGTATAGCTTACAATATCCCAGTTGTGCGGTCATTTTGGGCTGAGTTTTCTGCCTTGCAAGGCCGTGAGGATAATATTTACCTTGTTCGACTTCTTTCCCCTCGCAAGAAGAAAATCTCACCGTGTGCAGTCAATTTGAGTTTCGTGCTGAGCTAAACATGTAGCCAATGAAATTACTTACTCTGTACACGTGATTTTAGACATTTTTTGTAAAATCCCTCAACAAGTATGCTGTGCTTTCATTGGATAGTAAATCTTTAAGCTTAACACGTAGCTCAGGTTCACCGCACACGGTCAGGTGTTCGCCTGGAAAGGCGCAAGAAATCAAAGGCTCTCTTCTTTCTCTAAATAATGGCTTGCGGAATCATGAGAGTGCTAAGTGTTCAGTCAAGTTATTCAAACCGTAATATAACTTGAGACAACTCTTTCGATGATCACTTAATGGGAGTCTAATTTTGAAAGTAATTCTTGGCAAGACAGTGGGAATGTCACAGTCAAGTTGACACTCGAAAAGAAAATAGTTCTATCGTTCCAAAATACAAGTCTCTTTTATTCCTGTTTACCTTTGCAGATTACGAAAGAAGAATTCTTCTGTTCCTGAACGGAGTGGTAGTCACTGCAACAATCGCTACTATAATTGCACACATTTTAATCTACAAATATGTAGGCCGGTCCAAACATTAACACAGTTGTGTCATACACATTGTTCGGACCATGCCCCATACACTAATAAGAAGTAACATCTTCTGCAATGCATATTTAGCAAAAGGCGTTGTGGTTCTGCTTCACCTGATTTTGAAAATAATGCACATGGTGAATAATAAGCTACGTAAACCTTCTTTAAAGTGAAGGGAGAGTTGTTAACAGCGTATTAGACTGCAATGCTCTGTGTAATGTCAATTTTGTTTGTGGTTGAGATTCAATAGCAATTGGCAGTGTTGTAGCACTCGTGTCCGTCTCGACTCGCAATTTCAGCGACTCGCATTAGTTACATAGCAAATCACTCGGACTCGGACATGACCATTGGGACTCGGAAGTGACGCAAATGGCATGTGACTCGCGAGTTACTCACGTATGTTTGGTTTACGGGGAAAAAAATTAGAACAAGGGTCAAACTTTTTCCGAAAGTAACGTTTAAGCAATAACAGATGATGTTGCTGATGATGAAGTGTGTATAATTAAATGTTCCTTTCCCTGTTGCCCGCAAAAGCGCATCCCGTACACAACGCATCACTTAAACTCGAACATGGACTTATAGACTGTATCTCAGCACGGCGACAGCATCAGTGCCACTAATAGCTGCGGTAATTTGATAAATCTGGAACAATAACTGTGATTTTTTTTTACTCAAATATAAGTCAATCTATTCCTTAAATAGATCAACACGCACGATTTTCTCACATATTTTGTTAGAGGAACATGTGTGCGACTGGAATCATGACTAGCACCTTAATGCAGACAAGACCTGTACGCGAAAAAAAAAATGATGACGTCTTCAGACCGGAAGTTACTATGAAAAGACCTTGCTAAAAAAAAATGCTAAAAAATCAGCCGTGAGAGATACATTCAAGATTTTGCTATATTTAGCAGAATTAACATAGCTCTTGCGCTTTCTGGTAATGATGTCACAATGACTAAAATGATTAAAACAAATATTAAATTCGTACAAAAACAATTGGTGTTCGGTCAGCCCAACACCTGAACAACGGTTAGACATTTGACTTTGTTACAATCGATACAATATTGAAGAGTCTTCATTTTTTGTTATGAGTGCAAAATCACATGACCCTTCCGGTCGAAACCAGAAGTGCCTTATAATTTTAAATTGGCAGAAGATACGAACTTGCTTTCAACGATGTTAGTGTCTGCCTTGGCTGTACTTTACTATAATATTACATGTGACGTCATAAAATGTTAGAGCGCCCTCTAGCAGCATGTTAACAAAGTCAAACATGCATTTAAACTTGCATTTTGAGTTGATGTGTGTGGCGAAATTTGCGATAATGAATAGCCCAAAACCGTGTGGTTGTTCCTACGACCTTTAGTTTAATGTTGTTTTTTCGATGAGCATCATTACGTTTCAAACGGAATGGGGCGCATTCCAGGATTTAATGTCCCAACCTCGTTTCCAATGTATCGAGCAGTATGCTTCCCCACTACCTGCTCTCTCACCCTGGTATTGGATCGCGCCTCCACGCATGCAAATGAGGAATAGTCTGGTGACGTCCCGTGCTTGACAACAGCGTTTGTATCTGTATGTGTTTTTTTGGATAAATGTAGAATCAGTTCGTCGCGGCGTGGGTTACGAAAACACTATTGTTTTTTGAAAGTTAAAATGTTACAATCTTATCCAGCCAATATTAGGTATCACAGTTCATATTAATGTGAGTTAATTGGGAAGGACATGATTATCTTTGTGGAGGTGTGGACTAGATGTAATGATTACAACGAACGTGAAAACACGTAATACATGTTGAAAATAACAACACCAAGTACGCGATATAATTCTACTTCTTGCTAAATGCGGTGTCGAATCAGGATACAGAGCACAAATTCCCATCCCGAGGCTTACTATTGGAAACGAAGTTGAAAATGAAGTACGCCCTGGGGACGAGGGTGGTAATGCCCCTTTAAACACTGGAACGTCACGCGACGTTCTCCAGGTGTGTAGCAAATAATAACGTTTATTAAATGCTGCTGCCCTCCTCAACCCTTCCTATTTCCCGGGACGTCGATTTAAATACATGTACATGCTGCTAATATGTATGTGTGGCTATGTCCATGCATATCCATTTCGAACAATAAAAAGGCATACATGTAAACTGATCGCCGTGGCTCCCATCGTGACAAAAAAAGTAAGAAACTCCTCTTCAGCATTATCATTAAACGATT